CTGCCCAGAGAGGTGGGGGAGTCACCATCCCTGGAAGCGTTCAAAAAACGGGCAGAGGTGGCACTTGGGGACATGGTTTAGTCTAGTCTACCCTTGACTGGTCTAGTGTGGACTTGGTAATGTTAGGTTAATGGTTGGACTGGATGATCTGAAAGGTCTTTTCCGACCTAAACGATTCTATGATTCTATTCTATAATCATTGGTTATGTGATAAAGTCTCATTAGTGGAAAGAGGCGGGCACTGTGCTGGCTTGTCAGGGGTTGGCACACCATGGACGTCTCCCATGCTTCTGCTGTCAAAACAGAAAAAGCCTCAGCACTCCCGGCCGAAGCAGAGAGGAGCAGCTTCAAAGACATCACACGGTGTAACAGGCCGGAAAGCGGGGCGGGGAGCACACTGCCAAGCACCACGCTCCTTAACTACCCCGCTCCCTTCGGCTGCCTACGCATTGCTCGGCACTCACGCCAAAGGAGCGCTCGCTGCTCGATGCCAGCGGGCGGCCACCACGCCAACGTGCTCTCAGGAGAGGGAGAAGTTCCTGCGGGAAATCGAATGATGGACCTCGATTAAAAAAATCCTGCCACATCAGAACAGCCCAAGAGCCGACAGACAGCCGAGGAGGCGTTGGTACCGCTGCCTCCGGCCGGACGCTGTAACGCCATGTCCTGCAAAGGGAGAGGGCAGAGCTCCAGCGCGACGGCCCAGGCGTCGAGACTGCCCCGACCGGGGACCTCCACGGCTGCCAAGGGGCCGAGGATGCCGAGAGCTCTGTTGCTTTTCAGAAGCACGCAACTGCTTGGTTTCCACTGAATTCAGCCAGCAGCTCTGCTCAGCAATAGTTGTTTGCTGTGTTTCATCCAGAGCAGCTGTATCGGGGTCCTGACAGGGGGCAGATAAATGATGACTAACATAAAAAAGGCTCCAGCACTGTAAAGCACATCATTAAGCGATAACAAAGGAGACAGTTGTAAAAAGGAAACAGCAGCAAACACCAGAATTACAATTGCATGCAGTAAAAGTCAAAAACGAAAGTCTTGGATTTAGTGTATTACATCCAAAATAACTGACTGCAGATGGGCAGACCTTCACGAGCCTAATACACAGGCTTTTAAGTTATCTACGTTTTCTTTTACACAATACAAATGATATTAGAAAGGACACTGAAAAAAATCCCCTGCCACTCCCTCTTCCTAAAAAAGTTAGGAAAAAATTAACTCATTCCACTCAACTTTCCAGCCTGTCCAAGATCTCACATCAGAGATTACTGCAGCCTTTGGAAAAATTCAGATGAGCTCTTAACTAAATGTCTCAAACTCCACTTCTAATCATTTGAGAGGCACTCAGCATGCAAAGCTACACAATATTTTACACTGGGATCTCAACATTGCGATGATTCACCATTAGCCAGTAATACCACTTTTACCCACAGTTTGTGAGGGCTTTCTGACAGACTGCTGTCACCATCCACTTTATTGTTGGAACAAGGCGGAACTCAGTTCACCTTATAAAATGTGACTATATATATAGTACTACATATACAGAATATATATACACTGTTCTTTATCAACATGACTATCCCCGCTGTTCTTGTTTAAATAAGGATTACTTATTATGTGAATAGCCCATGAGGAACTGCATTCCTAGGAAGACAGACAGGTAACAGGAACAAATATTCTTCTAGCGAATATTATGGAGTTATCTAAAATATGTATCCGAAAGCTAAAAGAGCAGGCTGAAAGACTGGATTTGATCTCAGATGGATATAAAATGGGCATGCCATTTGAATACCTGCGTGTCCAAGCAGAACAAACCGGCTCATCAGGTTTTTGGCGTTGGCCAAAAGCAGAACATCGAGATGGTTTTGTATTATATACTACATAATATATGTAATTTCTCAAACTAGTGATTGAATTCATTCTTTAGCAGGCACACACACTCTCTAGATGGTAAAGACTTATCTAGAGCTCCAACCACCCCACACCATTGCTATGTCAACCTGTAAGAGAGATGCTGCACAGCACCCATTTTCCCAGTTTCCAACTTGTTTCATTCTCAGAAAAAAGATCTTCCACCACCAAGTCTTCTGGCAGTCAGGAGAGATGGAAATAAGTCTGCGGAGGGGCTTCCCGGCTCTTTTGTTTTGCTCCCTTTCAGAAGGACCCAAAATTGGCTCCAGAAAGCGTTGCTTCAGCTGCCTCTAGAGCCCTGCTTGTCTCCTTCCCATTAGCCATGCCTACTTCAGAGAATACCTTGGAGGGGGAATTTTGT